GTTCAGCAGCTCCCCCAGCCCCATCCCACCACCCCACCCCCAGCCCTGTGCCAGGGAGGGCATCTCCAGGAGGCACCACCCCCTGTGGGACTTGCCAGCTGCCCTCCTGGGCTCTTCCAGGGCACATTTGGGGTGGCTGCTCCCTCTCTAGCTGCTCTGGGAGGGATGGATGAGAGCTGGGGACGCTGTGGGGCTGCAGGTGGTGGGTTGGGGGCAGCACAGGGGTCTAGGCTGTGTCTGAGGGAGCAGCCTCATGAGCCCCCAAGGAGGGGAGGAGGCCCAGGGGACTCTGAGGATGCTGCCTTCAGCCCGGGGTGGATGGTGCCAAGCTGGGACAGGCCCCTCTCCAAGTCCCACCATCAGGCCTGGCCTTCTCCATCCCAAACCAAGCAGCTCAAATAGTTCCCTCACTTTTTTCTTGGGTGCAGGGGGAGCTGGCAATGGAAAGGGTGCTCAGGACCCAACAGCCACCACCTGATGGACGTGCTGGCTGTCCCTTGGGGCTCAGGGACCAGGTCCTTGGTCTGGGAACTGCTTCCCTGGGCTGAAGGATCACATCCCGGGACTGGGAACTGCTTCCTGGGGCTCAAGGATAACATCCCTAGACTGGGAACTGCTTCTCTGGGCTCAAGGATAACATCCCTAGACTGGGAACTGCTTCCCTGGGCTCAAGGATAACATCCCTAGACTGGGAACTGCTTCCCTGGGCTCAAGGATAACATCCCTAGACTGGGAACTGCTTTCCTGGGCTTCAGCTCCTCGACCATGTCCCCAGGGGCTGCCAGGAGCCCAACACCCTCTGGCTCAGACCCACCAGGGTTGGACACAGTCCCAGCAAACAGGGTGCGGGCAGGATGGGCACTGGCAGGGCCCTGTGCCAGGTTCCAGCTGGGGCAGGAGGGGGGGCCCCCCCCCCCATCCATTATTCACCTCCGTGTTTCTGGAGGGCAAAGTGTTGAATAATGGATGGAGGGTGTGGTGAGGACTCGGGAAGCTGCTGCCACTGGAATATTGATGGGGATGTTTTTGCCCGGTGCCTGGGAGGGCGGGCACGGTGGGGGTGGGCAGCTCTGCTCTGCCACCACTGCTTCCTGTCCCCTCCAGAGAGGGTCTGAGGGCTGGAGCAGCTCTGCTCTGGAGCCAGGCTGGGAGAGTTGGGGTGTTCAGCCTGGAGAAGAGAAGGCTCCAGGGAGACCTTAGAGCACCTTCCAGGGCCTGAAGGGGCTCCAGGAAAGCTGGGGAGGGACTTGGGACAAGGGCAGGGAGGGA